AGGTTCAAAAGCATAGGTTGGTAAAATTTACAACTAAAGCAAGCAGAAGGAAACACAAACGGTGGGGTCATATGCAGGATATGACAATGAAAATGGAGATAAAAGACTTTGTGACACAAAAGACAAAAATGAAGAAGCTGCACAACCTGAGAACCGTTCGGAGATTCCAGATGAACAGGTAGTGACAGAACAAGCAGAAGCTAATGTTGAAAATGTGATCTGGAGAAATCCAACCAAGACGAAACAGAAACCGGCCTATCTACAAGATTTTGAGACTGGTGATGTAATGGACAACTTACAAACTTGTGTTGATTTCTGTTATCAAGCAGTGTGTGACCAAAAATGTATCATGAAATCAATGGAAAAGCGCCATGGACGAGGAGATGGATTCACACTTTTGAACTGACTCAGTTACCGCCAGGTAAACAAGTACTGGGAGGGAGATGGGTCTATGCACTTAAAGGAATAGTTCACCGTTTTTACATACTGACATATGTTCTTACCTTACCTTAGACTAGTTAATATGTACCTGTCTGGTCTTAGTCCGTGCGCTCTGTCATGCAAACGGAGCAAAAACGGGAGCACAAATGCAGCCTCCTCTGTATATTTTGTAGCACCAAAAGGTAGCTCCCGCTAGAAGCTACCAAACTCTTCCAAGTGTTCCCTATTAAATGTATATAGTTACGTGACGTGTTACACTGCAAAGTATAGTAACACAGAAATGTAACAGTCGATTTTCTCAGCGGATAAAACGGGTACTATATTGTGAGGCGTAGTAATCTGAGGTGCGCTACGTCCGCGCACTAACTTCTCTCCGTACTACAAGTCACGCTGCTTCTATTGACGGAAGTGAGCGAGAGAGAAGTCTCCGGAGAGAAGTTAGTGCGCGGACGTAGCGCACCTCAGATTACTACGCCTCACAATATAGTACCCGTTTTATCCGCTGAGAAAATCGACTGTTACATTTCTGTGTTACTATACTTTGCAGTGTAACACGTCACGTAACTATATACATTTAATAGGGAACACTTGGAAGAGTTTGGTAGCTTCTAGCGGGAGCTACCTTTTGGTGCTACAAAATATACAGAGGAGGCTGCATTTGTGCTCCCGTTTTTGCTCCGTTTGCATGACAGAGCGCACGGACTAAGACCAGACAGATACGTATTAACTAGTCTAAGGTAAGGTAAGAACATATGTCAGTATGTAAAAACGGTGAACTATTCCTTTAAAATGGACACAGATGGATCCAATAAGTACAAAGCAAGATTTGTTGCTAAAGGATACAACCAAAAAGCAGGAACAGACTTTGAAGAGACATTCTCACCCACCGCTGACATGACAAGTGTCAGAGTTCTCATGCAGAAAGCAGCGTAAGAGGACTTGATCTTGCTTCAGATGGATGTTAAGACAGCGTATTTACACGCACCCATTGACTGAGATTTATATCGATCAACCACAAGGTTATGAGAGAAAGTCAAAAACAGGTGAAAAACTGGTATGTGGACTTAACAAATCGTTGTATGGAATCAAGCAATCAGGCAGAAACTGGAATGCTGTGTTACACTCATATCTATGTGAAAATGATTTTGTGCAAAACGCTGCATATCATTGTGTGTACACCAGGGAAAAGCATGGTGAGAAGTTAATCCTCATAGTATGGGTCGATGACCTCATTTTAGCTGCCAATGGTGAAAAGACAATGCCTGATGTAAAAATTATTTTGACTCAAAGGTTCAAAATGAAAGATTTAGGAATTTTGAAAACTTTCCTAGGAATAGATTTTGACCGAACTAACGGACAAGTAAAGATGTCACAAGAAAGATATGTTAAAAAGATTTTATAAAGGTTTGAAATGCAAAACTGCAAACCGAGAGACTCCTTGTGAACCAAAACTGGATTATACAGAAAATGCAGAAAAGTTAAAACAACCCAGACAATAAAGAGAGGCAGTGGGAAGTTTAATTTACTTATTCACTTGCACCAGACCTGACATCACTTATGTTGTCAGTAAACTATCAAAACTTTAGTGAACCAACTGTCAAACATTGGAATACAGTGAAACATGTGTTCAGGTATCTAAAAGGCACTACTGAACAAGGACTACTGTACACTTCACAAAGAATACTACAGAAAAACTTGGTCTAAAAGTTTACTGTGATGCAAGTTGGGCATCAAACAAGGCAGACAGTCGGAGCACATCGGGATATTGTGCCAGTCTATGTGAAGGAAGTTCACTCATTTCTTGGAAAACTCTAAAACAACCGACAGTAGCCCTTTCTACATGTGAAGCAGAGTATATCTCTTTAGCTTCAGCAATACAGGAGTGTCTATACATTGAACAGCTACTAAAAGATTTATACAGCAACAAATATGCTAAAATAAAAGTGTAGGAAGACAACCAAGGTACAATAGCACTCACAAGGAATCCGGTCAACAGACAAAGATGCAAGCATATTGATGTGAAATATCATTTCATCAGAGTGTTGTAACTACAGGGAAGGTTATTTTGGAATACGTTCTACTGATCAAATGATAGCTGATCTTTTGACTAAACCAGCCACGAGACAAAAGCTAAAAGGTTTCACAAAGAAAATGTTTGGCATGTAAACATGTTTGTTGATTTAAATGCATTGCCATTGCCTGTGTGTTTTACCCAGTGAGCTAACAGCGAGTGGGGGTGTTAAATAATGTTATTATAGCGCTGTTACTCCTTGTCTACTTGGAAGCTTTTATTTTGAAGATGCTACAGGATGTAGTCATGTTGTTTTTCTACTGATAACTTCCTGTGTGTGTGCTCACTAGAGTTTTGTTTGGGCCTGAAAAATCAAGCCCGACCCGGCCCGAGTCCGCTAATACTAAGCCCGAGCCTGTATATGCCCGACCAATTAACGCTGTATAATAGGCCTGAGCCCGACAGAAGCCCAACACATCTGATTTCCACTGTTGTGCGCACTCGCCTTTTGCAAGTGTTATAAATATATTAACTTTTTAAATAACTTGTTGTCAATCAACGGACATTATTATTAATAAATACATACAGTGGGGCAAAAAAGTATTTAGTCAGCCACCGATTGTGCAGTTCTCCCACTTAAAATAATGACAGACGTCTGTAATTTTCATCATAGGTACACTTCAACTGTGAGAGACAGAATGTGAAAAAAAAAATCCAGGAATTCACATTGTAGGATTTTTAAAGAATTTATTTGTAAATTATGGTGGAAAATAAGTATTTGGTCAATAATAGAAATTCAACTCAATGGAAGGACGGTTTGGCTCAAAATCTCACGATACATAGCCCCATTCATTCTTTCCTTAACACGGATCAGTCGTCCTGTCCCCTTAGCAGAAAAACAGCCAGGTGACTTTTATACAGATAACGAGTTCAAACAGGTGCCATTAATACAGGTAACGAGTGGAGGACAGAAGAGCTTCTCAAAGAAGAAGTTACAGGTCTGTGAGAGCCAGAGATCTTCCTTGTTTGAAGTGACCAAATACTTATTTTCCACCATAATTTACAAATAAATTCTTTAAAAATCCTACATTGTGAATTCCTGGAATTTTTTTTTCACATTCTGTTTCTCACAGTTGAAGTGCACCCATGATGAAAATTACAGACCTCTGTCATTATTTTAAGTGGGAGAACTTGCACAATCGGTGGTTGACTAAATACTTTTTTGTCCCACTGTATATGCATATCATTATGTATACCAGTGTCTCCCAAAGTGGGGTCCGCGGCCCCCTGGTGGGCCGCGAGGGTACTGCAGGGGGGCCGCGGGAGGTCATAAAAAAATTATATCATTATTTAATGTTAAATTTATAATGTTTTGTTTGTAATATTAAAATATTTGTGTTCATTATTTGACTTGAATAATCCACTGTAATCATTTTTATATTACAATGTTTGTAGCAGAGGCTATTTCCCCAAAATAAAATAACCAGAAGAGCCTATTCTTAATGTTGTCTTCTTGGTTATTATTTTGGGGGGCCACGCAGACCCGTCAAATTTTTAAGGGGCCTCGGTGTTACTGAGTTTGGGAATGGCTGATGTATACAAATCATGAAAAAAAAAGAAAACCTTTGATGAAACCTTTGTGAAAACCTTTGGGAGCTTACTATTTTATTTGCAGTCATTAAATACATTTCGAATAATAAGGCCTGTCTAATATTTGTTCGAAGATATATTTTTTTTTAATTTTAGAATTATATTCGAATTTTGAAGTCGAATATATCAAGGAGCGTCAATTATTTTTTAATATTCGTACTCTTCTAAATATTATTTATTCCAAGCAAACATTGGAATCACCAGAAATAGTTATTTCTCTAGATGCTGAAAAGGCTTTTGATAGGGTAGAGTGGAATTACATACAGTTCTACAGAAATTTGGTTTCGGTAATAAAATGGTGTCCTTGATTCGCCTCCTATACAACTCCTAAAGCTAGTATTCTCACCAACGACGTTCTCTCTGATTACCTTACGCTTGGCCGCGGAACTCGTCAAAGTTGCCCGTTATCGCTTTATCCAACAAAGGATACATTTTTGAAAATCAAGACTCTGGAGTCGTTGCCTAATTAAATTCTATTGATTTGGATATACTAGATAATCTGTGATATTTGTATATTGGTGGTGCTGTAACATTATGCGTGGAACTGGGACTGGGTGGGGTGGGGTCGTTTGTTGGTTTGTTCCTTTTTTTTTTCTTTCTGATGATGCTAATCTAACTGAAATTGAGCCATATGGATATGAATGTTTTAACAGAAAATATTTTGTACTGCATATTTGCATTGAAATATGTGGTATATGTTAATAAAAACATTTTGGGAAAAAAAGAAAAAACATAGCAATGTTCCACAAAAGTTATCCTTTTGATTTGTTGCAGACTAATGCACTATATGTAAAGTGTGTGTAGTTTTATTTGACTTAATGCTTGAAATGCTTTTAACTATAGACTATATTTTTAAGAAGTCATTATAACAATCAGCTTTTTGTTTTTTTATTTATAGAACAATTCAATGAGAAAGAAGAGGGGCCCTACTACACTCATCTGGGGGCCGGGCCAAGTGTGGCGGCCGTACGAGAGCTGATGGAGGACAGGTGAGGTCACTTGGACAGAGTGGAACATAGTAGGAACATTTGGATAGGCTGTGGAATACTCTGGTCTTCTGTGTGGGAGCTAATACTATTGAGCACAGCATATCCAAACAGGAGGCCTCTGAAGCTGAGACCAGGAGCCAGGCAAAGCACATGGTTAGCATTTGTGCTTCACAGCAAGAGGTTCATCTTCAGGCCTTTCTATGCGTAGTTTGCATGTTCTCCCTATGTCTGTGTGGGTTTCCTCCGGGTGCTCCGGTTTCCTCTACCACTAAAAACATGTGCAATAGATCTGGCATGCGCTTTGTGTACTCCCCTCAGATTTAATTGAAATGTAAAGTGCATTATAAATAAAATGTATTATTATTATGATTGTGTATGGCGAACTCGCTCCCATCTTTGTGTAGAGCAAGAGTTCAAATGCCCACAACAATTGTAATGCCCTTTGTGACTCTGGTCTGTGAAAGGCGGTATATAAATAAAGATTACTTACTTACTCACTCACAGACTTGGCAAAATCCCAGTTAGAGCAGTGGTCAAATGCTGTTCATGGCTGACTACTTTCTAGTAAATACTGTTTATAAATATGATTTTTGGGACCATATGTTTGAGAAGTCACTTGTTACCTCTTTTAATAAATAACCTGTTACTTTACTTTGTTTTTCTCCAAAGAAAGTAACTTATTACATTACTCGTTACTTTTGTGTTACTGTAATGCTTGACTTTGGGCAGAACTGTTCTTAAATTTGTTGTGGAAGTTCTACTATGAAGATCTACTAAGACATTTCTTTCATGCTCTGTATTATCAAAAATGCCACAGAGCATACAGTTTATACCAGTCAAAAATAGCCCCACCTCTACATTACCCATGGGTTTTATGAGGGAAAGGCGCATGTGTCATTTTTGCCGCTGTAAACAACTTCTCATGGTGCGAGTGACGAGAGGCTCTCCTCACACCGGCTGAGCGCGCAGATATTAATATTTACATTCTATGGCAGAGACACTGGTCAATCTTCCCCAACTGTCTTAAAATCTGAATGTCTGAAAAGGTGGTGGCTCAGCAACTGATGGATCACTTAAACTATGGTGAACATCCGCTAAATCCACTTAAATTTGTTTTCCAAAAAAAATCACTCAGCAGAAACAGCTCTGTGTTTTTTTGTTGAACAACTAAAAAGTATGTTGGATAAAGGAGGAGTGGTTGGAGCCAATTTTTTTTAATCTAAAAAAAGCATTCGACACAGTAAACCATAGCATCCTTTTATAAAACAATCACAACATAATGTTTCAGAAATGGTTTAAATCATACTTGCAGGGGAGAAAACACTGCACAAGAGTAAAAAGCACTTTGTCTCTTTTTTAGACGTGCAATGCTGATGCTGTCCATGCCAAAACCAGCCAAAAAGTTGCGTAAAATCATGCCTGACACTAAATGTTAAAAAAAACGTCAGCATGTATTTTTCTGTAAGGAATACTCTTTCCACTCCACCAGAAATGATAACTAATGGAGACAAAGACTATATATTTTGGTGTTGAGCTTGACAAGACACTGTATTTTAAAACACACATTTCCAAAATGATCAAATGCATACAATGTAGTTTGTCTCAATTTAGGGGAATCTGTCACAAGATGAGTCCAGATGCAGCAAAGCTTTTCATGCATTCAATGATTTTTTTCACAATTTACTTATTGTTGCACATTGTAGTCATTGGCTCCAGACTCAGCAATGCAACCTATTTTGAGCTTGTACAAGCCCTAAAGATTTTAGATTAAACACCGAGGTCACATTTTCATTGCAAAATTGTTGAAAAATATAAATTATTTGCATGTGTCTGCGTAGGTTTCCTCCTGGTGCTCTGGTTTACCCTACCACTAAAACATGCACAATAGGATGAATGTAATGAGTGAGTGATTGGATGGTGTTGGTTTGGGGCTTTGATGCTCCAGTGTGTTTGGCGTCATCACCGGTGTGGAAATAATGAAAAAACTCTGAACTCTGAACAATTGTAAAGCGCTTTGGGTGACTTTGGTCTGTAAAATGTGCTATATAAATAAACCTTACTTACTTACTTAAACTGTTAAATGGACTTGCTCCTCATGGATTTTATATGTTAAAAAAACAACAGTGGAGCACTGACCAGAGGAGACTGTAATGTACAACAGCACAGGACTAAATTCAGCCAAATTGATGGCGTCCATCAGAAGTACATTATGGAAAACTTTGCCAGAACACATACGGAACTGTAGGACCTACCTAACATTTAACGAAGTCCTGAAACATTGGTTAAAAATAAACCAGTCATGCTCCCATAGATGAAGAACTGCCCTTCCTTTCTCTTTTCTTTTAAAATATCTATGTTGCGCTTGTCGACTTATTGTTTTTACCTAACTGTGTGTTTGTGTGTCTCTTACCTGCCTTAGGACTACCGCACAGACAGAGGTAGTGAGTTCCAGGCCACTGCTACTTTGACAGAGAAACAGCTCTGACCAAATGAGGAGGACCTACAGTAAAGTTCACATAACAGTCTCACCTAGATTCTCACCTCCTCACACCACCACAAATGTATTTAGTGGTGGAGGTGCTAAATTTTTGAAAATTTTTCAATATAAGACAGATATTTGCAAACTGGATGACAGTTTGCAGACACATTGATTAATATGTACCGTCCTAAATTCAAATAAATACATAAATAAAAATAAAATAGACTACACCAGGGGTCTCCAACCTTTTTCAATCTGAGAGCTTCTTTTATACAACAGAAGCAGAGGCAGAGAGCTATTGGTAGCTTTCCAGCTAGAGACCCCTGAACTACAGTGATGCCCTCACTGTGTGGTCTATGGGGAAGTGTAGAGATAAATAGATAGATGGATAGATATTTACTTTATTGATCTCCCTTAGGAGAAATTCAAGTGTCCAGCAGCAGAAGACTCGTCCATGTCTGTTGTACAGTCTGACAGCTGAAGGAACAAAGAATCTCTTGAAAAGTTCCATTTGGCAGTGCAGTGATAGGAGCCTGTTGCTACAATTACTCCTCAGAGCGACCATAGTGTCTTGGAAAGAGTGTCTGGAGTTACCCAGGATGCCCTGCATTTGAGGCCTCATCTCCAGCATAGCTCCCACAAAGTCCCATCACAAAGACACATTTCCTGATCAGCCCCAAAGAACACAACACTAGCTACAAGAGACTGGTAAAATATTTGCAACATCTGACTGCTCACATCAAAGGACCTCAGTCTTCTCAGGAAGAAAATTCTGCTCTGAGCTTTTTTACAGATAGCATTGGCCTGAGCTGACCAGTCCAGTCTGTGGTCCAGGTGACTTCCAAGATATTTGTATGACTGTACCACTTCGATGTCCTGTCCATTTAGTGTGACCGGTTGATGGGAAGGGCTCTTGTGAAAGTCAATGATCATCTCCTTGGTTTTGGACGCATTGAGAATCAGAGAGGACAGTACGGCCAAATAACTGATATAGAGCAATACAAATCTGATGTATGTCTTTGTCATCATGGTCTCTGTGGGCTGGTGTGGTTAGACCATAGACTGTAAATATTAAGACGCAAAAAAAACAATGTCCAGAATCAATACAAAGAAAGATTGCTCACCCATCATCTGTACTTCAGTTAGCAGGTTTTCCCGACGTTTCGTTCTTCATCCAAAGAACATTTTCAAAGGAATGAACGCTCAGCCGCAAGTTGGAGAATTATTACCTGTGGGTGTGGTAAGACACCCCTGATCCTGAGGCTAACTCGTTAACACATATAAGGTCTGCAATGAAGTGGTAGGGAGCAGGTCTAACGACCCTGCTGGGGCTAACGATTCTAACTAATTAGCATGTCACTGGCCTATTGTCTGCTGAGATTGCTCGTGTGGAGTGCAGGTCTACCACTCCTCACTCTTTAACATGCCACATTGACTTTTGACCAAACCCTGTATGACTGCGAGCTTACACAAACAAGTCCAGTATCACTGTCAAACCTGCCAGTCCTGTGTGTGCTGTGTGTGTGGATTTAATGTCAAAAAATGTTCACTACCATTTTGCATTTTTTATTTGTTTCAGTAGCTCTTTCTAGCTCAAGAATATCCCTAAACAAATGTATATAAATGATAAATTATGTTCTATAAGGTTGTCCGTTGACAGAAATAAAACTTCAGGGAAAAGAAGTGCATTCTCTTGCATTAAAAACATGCAACATACAACACTACTCTCACACCTCTAACTCTGAGCCTGATCTCATTTAGTCAAGCACCTCAGTGTCTGTGGTAAAGGATAATAAAAAAGTCAACCTCACTGGCCGTGAGCGGAAACTTCACTTTGTTTGTTCTCAGCTAGCTCTTCATTTTGGGTTAAATTGGGACACTCTGCAAGCACCAGCAGATGACAGCTGTCCATGGTAAATAAAAAGTAACGTTGTGGCGGATAGAAAAAGAAAAGGCTTTACTTTTCTAAATGGTCGATAGTTAACGCATTACTTTACTTTTCCTCTGAAAAAGATATTTAGTTAATTTAACGTGTTTCTTTGTAGCGCGTTACACTCAACACTGTTTGGGACAGTGTTTAGGAATGAAAAACTACTACTACTACTACACCTGGCTGTTTACTTTTGACTTAGCTGGAAACTGCAGCAATGTCTAAGTAGCTCTGAAACAGTTGTTGCTTTTGTGCTTTACACTTTTTCTTGCTTTTTTCTACCTGAGATGTTGCTGCAGTACAGTGTTCATGGTTTTGCACTGGTCCAGACAGGAACGAAGAGGATTCATGGTCCGAAACAGGCAAAAATCCATTGGAGGAGGGCTAACTTGCTAACAAAGCATTTAGTATTTTAAATGGGACAAGAGCAGAGAAAATGGTCCGAACCAAGTGGCTCCACCTTTGACCTGTCCTGCTCCACCCAGATGCTAGACCATCTCTGCTGCTGTGACCCGTCCTGCTTCCCCCAGAGGCTCCATAATCTCTGCTGCTGTGACCCTTCCTGCGCCGCCTCTGCTGCTGTGACCCGTCCTGCTCCGCCCAGGGGCTGCACCACCTCTGCTGCTGTAGCTTGTCCTGCTCCACCCCAAGCAGATGGCCCACCTCTGCTACTGTGACCTGAAGTGCTGTTTCTTATGATTACTATTACTATTGTTAGCTTTTTAGAATGATCAATTTATTTGTTTTGTTTGTGTGGATGGATGTGTTTTTGCTGCTATACTGGACACCTGAATTTCTCCTACGGGGATCAATAAAGTATCTAACCAACTAACTAAATTAGCTGAAGGCTACTTTTCATTGTACATGCTTAAGGAAGAAACCTATGCAGACACGGGGAGAACATGTACACTCCACTCAGTGTGACGGCTTTCGCCACTGCACCACCGTGTGGCCACATACTGTTAAAATAAGCATTCGGGACACACATATATCCATGTAGTTCACTATAAGCATGTGATGGTCAGAGATGTTCATTTGCAATGTTTATGTTCAAGATAGTTACACGTAATCTTGTACCAAATCTCATTACTCTGTAAGACTCTGTAATTGTCATTATAATTAGTTGTTTCAACTAATAGTCAAATATATACACAAATGTCTGGCCTCATACTATATGTAGATATGTATATGTTTATATGGATGTTGTGTGTTTAGATACGGCGCTAAAGGAAATGCGGTGAGAGTAGAGGTGGTGGTGTACACAGGGAAAGAAGGACGCAGCTCCCAGGGCTGTCCCATCGCCAAGTGGGTGAGTACCACTCTCAACGCTGGCTCAGCCTGACTCCAAGCACGCACTCAAAAGCAAATAAAAGCATGTCCAAAATACTTCAACTGGAGCTCACACTAAGCTCTCAAGTGCAGTACGACTTAGTTCACAAACCAGGACCAGCTTCTGGTTTCCTCCTGTGTAAATTCATTAATTCATTCATGCATTCATTTTCTACCCCTTTATTAGTACATTTCTGGGTCGGGGGTTTGACAAGGAGAGCTGCCACCCATTGCTCATAGCACCAGTCCCTTTCTGATCCTCTGCAGGTGGTGAGTCCACAGGAAGATGGCTGAAACACCAAGGCTGTGGCACCACTAATGTAGCAACATTAGTGGTGCCACAGCCTTGGTGTTTCAGCGGGAGCTTCAGGCAATCTGGGGTTAAGTGTCTTGCCCAAGGACACAACGACAGCAGACATTAGTTGGAGCAGTTGGAGTAGGTCCCGAGGTGGGCTCAAGCCCTATGGACCAATACCAGTTTGAACTGCTTGTTTCTCTGATCTGTGTTGGTGAATTCAACGGTTTTGTTAATTCCTCTGAGATAACTACTGTTGTGATTTAGGGCTTTACAAGAGTAAATTGAATTGATTAGACCCTGCGGCTTATAACTAAGGTGCGGCTTCATATTTATTTCATTTTTTTTCTCTGTGGCACTAAAACATTTTGCCACACAGAAATAAAGTCATAGTAGACCAACCGAAATAAATTGTATGATTTGTCAATCAATAATTTGTACTCACCCTTGTCTACATGCAAAATACTAGAAGAAAAGCATAAAATGTGGTGCATAAGTAACTTGTGTGTTACTGATACAATATACAGTTTCAAACATAAAGATTAGTGCTGTCCAACGATTAATATATTTAATCGCGATTAATCGCATGAATTTCATAGTTAACTCGCGAATTAGTCACACATTTGTGTGGGTGTGTGTGTGTGTGTGGGTGTGTGTGTGTATGTGTGGGTATAGACCATAGACTGTATAGAAACATCATGGTGTCATTTCAATTTGGAGAGACGAGAAAACAGGAAGTTTTGAGTATTTTATTGAAAGGAGGTTTGGCGCCCTAGGCCCCGGTGCGGCCTTCAGATCGGAAAGGCTCCTGCGATGGAGCGCGCACAATCCCCCGGGACCTAGGCACTGGTGGCGGCATTTGGCAGCGGGAAGCAGATTTGAAGGCAGATTGGAGGCAGGGTGAAGAGGAGGAGGAGGGGAGGCGGTGGTTGCAAGGCTTCAGAGGCCGAGAGTGGGAGTTTCTCCGTTTTTATGCGGCTGGCGAGTCGGTACAGATGATTGGAAGGGGGCGTCTGCTGAGCGATAGGCTGGGGATGCGAGCCGGCCTGGAGGGGGTCATTTTGGTTAACGTCTACCAAATTGAATTTTCGCTGGCTGCATTTCAATTTGGAGAGACGAGAAAACAGGAAGTTTTGAGTATTTTATTGAAAGGAGGTTTGGCGCCCTAGGCCCCGGTGCGGCCTTCAGATCGGAAAGGCTCCTGCGATGGAGCGCGCACAATCCCCAAAAAGGCTGCGTGTTGATGGAGTTTTCGAAGCCTGGTTTGGAGGGGACAGACGTCGTGACTACTCTATTCTGTGACCGCTATCGCTAAGCTGTGACCGCTATCGCTATGCTGTGACCGCTATCGCTATATGCTGTGACCGCTATCGCTATATGCTGTGACCGCTATCGCTATATGCTGTGACCGCTATCGCTATATGCTGTGACCGCCAGCGCAATGCTGCTAACCATTTTTTGCTATATGCTGTGACCGCTAACCATTTTTTGCTATGCTGTGACCGCTAACCATTTTTTGCTATGCTGTGACCGCTATCGCTATATGCTGTGACCGCTATCGCTATATGCTGTGACCGCTATCGCTATATGCTGTGACCGCTATCGCTATATGCTGTGACCGCTATCTACTGTGATCAATACTTGCGGATACTCGGCTGCTGCCGCCACCAGGAAGTTTTGTGAGTGATTTATGGAGATGCCAAGAGGCGCTGGGCTGTCAGAATGGTTGAAGTGTCAGGCCTGATGTATGAGGAGAGGGCCGATGATGACCAGCGGCCCAGCTGCTGGAGGGCAGAATGGGGGAGTCCTAGGGACGCGGCGCGCGTGGCGGCGCCTATCCGGAAGGAGTGAGCTGTGTAGAGATGGGGAGACAGGTTACAAAGCAGCAGTACGGACTTTAGTTGGGCCCTGAACCAGTTAGATGTCATTGGGAGGTGATCGGGGGTGAGAAATAACGGTCCGTTGAGATCTCCTTTCCGAGAGCGGAGGCGAGTGTAATGCATCATGGATCTGTAGGGACAGGGAGAAGTGTCAGACCGAGCTATGACTATATTGCAAGCGCCTTTGCGTTTGGAATGCTTGAGGTGGAGGTTGAAGTAGTCGGGATAATATGACAGGTCAGAGAAGGCACTGTCTCGGGATGCATTAAAGGTGGCGTGAGAGTTTGTGAATTCGCTTATGCGTAAGAAGCCCATTTTCATGTAGGATGCAGCGGAGGAGAGAAGGTGAAGAGACGGAGGGACTAGGCCGGGGCGAGGGATTCCGTGCAGGGGATCTGGCATGGCGATGGATTGGCAGAAGGGCAGAGGCGTCAGAACTCCTGGAATTTAAAGCGAGAGAGAGAGTCAGCAATACAGTTAGGTGACGAGGGACGTGACAAACAGTGATGATAAATTGTTCGAGACTGAGAGCCATGTGATGCGTCTAAGGAGGATGTGATTTGGGGAGAGGATGAACGACCTCTGTTAATTATTTCAATGACGTCGAGGTTGTCGCACGTCACGGAAATCCTTTTCCTATGCCACGTATGGTTCCGCAGCACGCAGGCTACGGTCGCGGGATATATCTCGTGGAGCGCGGAGGAGATGCTTCGAGGGAAAGCGTCGGGCCGGGGCCCGGCGAACCACTGGTCCTGGAAAAACCCCCAAAACCCACGGACGGGGCTGCGTCCGTGAAGAACCGCGGGGCATCTGAGACAGGATGATGTCACTGTAAAAAAAAGAGATACACCATCCCAGCTGCTCTGCAGACGGGACCGGAACGCCAGGTCGGAGCGGCGCCCCGCGTCCGGGCAGACAGCGTCATCGAGGGAGGAGACGGAGCCGGCGAGGGAGAGGAGTCTGGAATTAAAAGAACGACCTTGGGGAATGATACGGACGGCATAATGAAGATGCCCGAGGAGGGAGAGCAAGGACGCCTCGAAGTGACGGGAAGGCCAAGGCAGACCGGGAGAAAGCGCGGATGCGTTCGAGCTTGTCCAGCGGGAGGGAGGCCTCCATGGCGCGTGTGTCGAGGCGGATGCCGAGAAACTCCAGAGCGTTGGCGGGGCCTGTGGTCTTTCCGGAGTGGAGGAATCCGAGGGCAGAGAAGACGGGCCTGAGCTTGCGGAGAGAGCCCCCGGAGCAGTCTGAGGGTGGGTCGACTATGAGGGAATCATCGGGGAGATGCAGACAGAGGGGAGCCGCGCGTAATTAAGCAGAATCCGACACGGCGCCTCCGAGAGATTGTTGAACGAGAGGGACTACTCCGGCAGTCAAGGTGAGGCGCACTGCGAAGAAGAACTCCGACGCCACTTGACCCCTGAACAGCGCCAGTGGTCGGGGTGGATGGCAGCAGCTTGAACGCGACCGGGATGACGGCCTTGGAGAGCCAGGAGCCGGGGCCGAAAGTCTTTATCAGCCTGATCGCGTGGTCCACGGTAGCGGACTGCAGGGAGAAGGGCGCTGGAGGGAAGGGGCTGTTGATGCTTGGGCGGGCCCGGAGCGGGGACAGGAGAGGACGAGTATGAGACGCTTCTTCCTGGAGTGCTTGCGGGTGGCGATGCCCATCGGGTTAGAGCGAGACGGAGAGAAGGGGCCAATGACGTAGCCCACGGACACCTCCCGCACCCGAGCCGCGTGCCGACTTGGGGCTCACGGAGAGCCGGGAAGAGGTTGCGGGACACGAGACGCCGAGGGACCTAAACAGAGCCTGCAGTCTAATGTGAGGGATTTAAATAGAGCTTGCAGTCCAAAGTGAGGTATTAAAACTGAGCCCGCGGTCCAAGTGAGGCGTTTAACGGAGAGCCTGCAGTCCGGTGCGAGGGAGTTAAACGACCTGTAGTCCGAGGTGAGGGATTAAACTGAGAGCTTGTAGTCCAGAGTGAGGGATTCAACATTGCCCGCAGTCCTAAAAGAGGGATTTATAACTGAGAGCTTGAAGTCCAAGTGAGGGATTAAACCGAGAGCTGCAGTCCAGTGTGAAGGATTTAAACAGGTTTTACGGTCCAAGTGAGGGATTAACTGAACCCGCAGTCCAAGTGAGAGTTTAAACTGAAAGCTTACAGTCCAGTGTGAGGGATCCAACAGAGCCTGCAGTTTTTTTTATTTTTTATTTTATTTATTTATTTATATTTATTTATATTTATATTTATTTATATTTATATTTATTTATATTTATATTTATTCATATTTATATTTATTTATATTTATTTATTTTTATATATAAGCGTTCCAGATATAAGCAGTACCATATATGCAGTTCCGCATGAAGCAGTTCCAGGTACGGTATAACAGCTCCAGATATAAGCAGTTCCAGATATAAGCAGTTCCGTGAGGGATTAACCTGAGAGCTCGCAGTCCAATGTGAGGGATTCAATTTGGGAGCCGCAGTCCAGAGGGATTTAAACGGGGCTTGCAGTCCAAAGAGAGGGATTTAAACAGAGCTCGCAGTCCAGAGAGGGATTTAAAGAGAGCCTGCAGGCCAAAGTGAGGGATTAAAACTGAGGTCTTGCCGTCCAATGTGAGGAATAAACGGAGCTTGCAGTCAGAGTGAAGAATTTAAACGGAGCTTGGTTAAGAGAGCCTGCAGAACAATGCGAGGGCTTTAAACTGAAGCTTGCCCACCAATGCACGGGGCCAACTGAGCCTGCAGTACAAAGCGCGGGGCCAAAACTGAGCCTGCAGTACAATGCGAGGGGAATAAAC